GCCAATGTCACATCAGCAGCAGCAAGGGCTTTGAGCCAGCCGTGTTTAAATCCCCGATTTTCAAATTTGGGGAGTTCGTCAACATATTCATCAAAAGCAGACTTCTTCCCAGCATCGAATGCGCTGGCAGCCTTCAAGTCGGCTGCTTCCGTCGCCGCCTTCATCTCTTCCAACCCAGCCTCTAATTTAGAGATTGCCTCCTGGGCCAACTTAAGCGCGTCGTCGCTTGCATTTGCCCTCTTCTCGGCGACTGATCTCAATTCTTCAGCACTGCAGGCTCTCTCCATCTCGGCCTCGGCACGGGCACCCTTCGTCTGCACCCTACTCCTTTGGCCCTCAACCTCGGCTTGTAAACGGCCAATTAGCTCGACGGCATCGTGATAGCGACGGCCCATGTCGGCTATCCTCCCGATAGCCTGCAAAACAGGAAGTCAAGAACAAAGTAATATTTGCATAAAGAGAAAGAGACAGTCCAAATATATACCAAAAGAGCCGATTGTGCGGCCAACCCAATTGCAACCAGATCAGGCTCTGCCCGAAAAGCCGCCTTGTCGGCAGGCAATGAAACGGATGTCGCCAAGCTGAGTGCAACTGCTGGATCTTTGATTACCGAAGCATCGAAGGAGATTGGCGTATTTTTTATCTTGGGCTGAATAACAAAAGGTACAATCACAGCCGACTCCTCCACACGAGGTCGTTTGTCGGCATGGTCTTCTTTTGAGCCGGCCTCGGTATCGGCAGGGCATTTCTCCACCTTTTGCTCAGCTTCTACACTTGCTTGCACAAAAGGTTCTGCCTTGGAACTTCCGTTCTTTGTTGTCTCCTCAATAACAGGCAAGGAGGTCTAGGACTGAGATTCGGTAGCCCGAATCTCCTCCGCCCTTCGCCGCGCGGCCATCCTTTCCGTGTTTGCCTTCTTGGCAAGTTTTGTGAGGCTCAACCCAGCCATATCTTCTGGGAACACACCGGGAAGGTCTTCCAGACCGTGAAAAGTATCGTCGAGCGGACAGTCCTCTCGACCCGAAGTGGACGGAGGATCAGCCGAATTGAGACCGGCTTCTTCAAATGCTAACTTCAAAGCCTCGTCAACCTCAGTTTCGGATTGGCCTGACTCGGCGGCCTCAGCTACTTACGGTCGCTCCAAATCTGATCCCTCGCAACCGACTTGTCTCAAATTTCTGAAATCAGTCAAGATAAGGGCGATAAGAGACTCTTCACCCTCCGAAATTGGGATGTTTTCCGCTGTCGAAAAAGTCGTATAAGTCGACTCGTAGCGGAGCAGAACGTGGGCCGCTTTCCCCTACTTCTGAAAACTCGGTCGGTCGAAATACTTGAGCGCAATCCTGATTTTCGAAAGGACGGCCTCGTCGGTCGAGATCAAGACTTTCTTCAAATCGTTTCCTACAAAAGCAAAATTATGAGGTTCCAAAAATAAAGTTTTATAAATATAACAAGTAAATAATTAAAAGAAGATACTCGGCCACCTGGTTCGCTCCTCCGTCTAGGAATACGATCAACGCGGTCCTCGCCTTCGCTGAATTCCCAGTTTCCTTGGACGACGACCATAACATCATCGACTCGCTTCCAGAGCTGGAAAGCATAGTCACTAGTTGATGGTCGGTGTCTTTGGCCCTAAGGAAATAACGCCCGTGCCGACTAGAAGACTTGGCCAAGGCGTAGCAATGCCGAATAGCGAGAATGCCAAGGTTAAGCCTAAGGCGGCGATTTAGTGTGACAATTCCCATCACGATCCTATAGAAGTGGACGTTGGGTTGGGAAGGGATTAACCCCCAACGGCAAAACACGGCCCTAAGGAGTGGGTGAAGGGGAAAGCGGACCCCACCCTCTGCGATTGATAGAAGAAGGAAGACGATCGTGGTTTCATCAACCCTCTCTATATCGAGGGTGCCGTTTACCACAAATGACAGACGGACATCATCAGGAATGGAAAAATGGCGTTGGAAGCCAGAAATTTGATCCGGTGACAGGAGATCTTTTAAATGTTTCGCCATTCCCCCAGCCAATAAGATTATGCTAAGCCAAAAAACAAAGCAGAGAATGAGAGAACTTACAAGAGACGAAGGAGATAGAGAAAAGTAGGAGGTTGCAGAGGTAGTTTGGAAGGCAATCCAGCGACGGGCGTCTAAAAGCATGTATGCATTTGAAAAGACATCGAAATTTTAAATCACAATAAATAGAAATGTACGAAAAGGCGGGAAGTTGAAGTGACAATCGGAACGCGTATACAGACATTTGCGTTGGGATACGGTCAGCTGCCGAATTTCGGCTTTGACTCTTCAAGTTCGAAGCCAAACATTCCAGCTAACTGTCGTTAGTGGAGTGCTTGGGGGACAATTGTGGGGGCCGAGAAGAAAGAGTCATAGAGATTCCGGATAGCCGAATCTCGGAGAGTCAAGATTCGAAGCACTCGGCAATTGGCTTGCAAGCTCAAATCCAACCCTATTCGGCCAAATGACCGATTAGGCAAGAGGCCGAGTGAAGGTCGATCTATTGTAAAATGCGCCGAATATGAGTTGGAAATGGATTGAATCACGAGGCCCATGGAAGAAAAGATATAAATAGAAGAACATCAGCCAGAAAGAGGTATGTGAGAATTATTGTGCTTAACTTAGAATACAAGCATTCTTGAGTGTGGATTCTGACTCGTCCGTCGGAGTACTAATTCCGGCACCCCCGATCGGAGTGTTTATTCCTTTTCAGGTAACCAGAAAAGGATCACTAGCGTTCTCTAGGATCAGAAGAGTATTTCCAAACCACTTCTCCACAAGATTATATTTTAGCCAAAAAGCCAAAAAGTTATTATAAAAGCCTGTTCCCAAACGCCTCATTTGGAACAGGTTATTTTAATAACTTTTTAACTTTTTAGTTAAAATATAAGGCAAAAAAAATTAGTATGTTTGGAATGACTTTTTGACTTTTTACGAAAAGATATACAAAAAGTAGAGAGAAAATAAAATCTTTGATTTTTTAGTATATGTTATAAACTTTTTAACTTTTTAATAACTTTTTAATTAAAATGTTAACTTGACAAACGAGACCTAATTAATAGATATTTTAAGCCATTCCACTTATCACTTTATGGCTTGAATCACGATGTATTTATCTAATTTTTTATTCACATAGATCTAATTCCATATTTAAAGTGGTGACTAATTGGAATTTCAAATGATTTATCTCAAGAAATACTCTAAAAATAAAATGCATGGAAGAGATTTAAAATTGTGATGTAAATTACATTTAAAAATATTAGAATTTATAGATATATTATTTTTTAAATAACTTTTATAAGTTTGTAATATAATATTTGATTGAGAAAACTGGTAAGACTAGTGAAACCTTTTTTTTCCCTCCAAGGGGGCTTTATTAGTTCCAAGCCCAACCACACGTCATGTGAATCGCGTGCATCTGAACCTTTCACGTTGAACCATTTATAGTAATAATAACAAGACAGGGTTGTTGCCCCCACCCAAAAAGTGACCCAAAAAAAAAAACAAAGAAAAAAAACAGAAGGTTGTTGCAAACATTAATGTTAGTTTAAATTCCCACCAAACGAAATTAAGCAAATTGTAAATACATAGTACAACCACAAAATATAATTGTATTATATATGAGAGTATTTTAAGTATGATTTTGACACATAGTAAGGACTTGTATTAATCATACATTAGACTTATACTATACATAATAGAAACTTATACCATCATGAAAATATAATTATTTTCTCATTGCTTCACTGAATTATAATTTTTCCGAAGAAATTGTACAAATGGAATGGGGTTGCATTTCATTCATGATTTGGACTGAATGGTGTTTTTAGGTTCGTAAGATTTGTCACACATCTCTTTTTAATAATTTGAATAATTTATTTTGTAGTACTCTTCATGTATATTGCCCATGAAAAGATTAAGTTGATCCAATAATCATAATATTTTTATTTTATTATATTTATCTAAAAATAAATGAATGATCTATTTTAAAAAATATGTATTCATTTTTTTTCAAAGCCATGCATTAAAATGAACAAGTTACAATTATTAGATTGACTTAATTTTTTTTTTTTTGGATGATATATATACTAATAATTTTATAAAATGAACGATTCAGATCACTAAAACGAGACCTATAAACCTTATGAACCCAAATAGCATCGTCCAGTTCAGATAAAAACAGGAGGCAAGTAGAATCCAAATAAGATGTGATTTAGATTTTAATTTCTACATATCAAGTTCTCACTTAGAATGAATTTGGATCACAAAGTGTTTTAGAAACTTTTTTTTGTACATGTATTTATATAATTGTTTTGATACAAATACCATATATTCAGAATTTGTACCTTAAATCATCCCAAAACTAGATATGTGATGTAAATTTAAAATTAATGTGATGTTGATCCTTTCCATTATATTATCTAACGATTATCAAATTAACGTTTTTTTTTAAAAAAAAAATTTGAAATAATGATTAATGTAATGGAGAGATGGTGTATTTATATAGGAGGATCCCTTCCGGTCTGCTATTTGGGTCTGTAGAGCTCATCACAGGTCTTTTTTTGATAATTCGAATAATTCATTTTATCAGGTACCTTGTGTGTTTTATCCACACAAAAAATTAAGTCGGTATGATAATTATAACTTATTCAATTTATCGCGTTTTTAACCAAAAAATTATATGGTTTATTTTTAAAAACATAAATTTTTTTTGGTTAAAAATGCGATAAATTAAAGTTATAGTTATTGAATCGACCTACTTTTTTTATGGATGAAATACACAAAGTGCTTGACAAAATGAACAATTCAAATCATTAAAACGAGACCCGTGAAATGTCGCACATGTTCAAACAGTGCCCTCCAGTCCAAAATCTGGACCGGAGAGGATCCTCCATTTATATACAGTAGTTTTTAAAATATTTAAAACAATAATGTTAGAAATCCACATTTTGTACCGATAAATACATCCATAATGATATGGTAAGGGAATCATTGAGTATTTAATCAATCAAAAATTATCACTTATCAAATTGCATCATTATAAATTAAATTATAAAAGATTTATGAGGGTCTCAAATATTTCCCTATTTAAAAGTACTCAGCAAAGTAAAGAATGCCATTGAGCTAAACTTGATTGTGCGTGGCCTTCCTTGTCTCATAACACACATCCATGGCTGACGCACAACAACAAGAACACATAGTGATGTTGCCTTTCATGGCACATGGTCATCTCATACCTTTCTTAGCACTAGCAACTCAAATCCATCAAACTACTGGTTTCACCATCACTATTGCCACCACTCCTCTCAACATTCACTACCTCCGCCGCTCCTCCACCACCGCCAACCACCGCCAAATCCGCCTTGTTGCACTTCCCTTCAACAGCTCTGACCATGGCTTACCGCCCAACACCGAGAACACTGAGGCCGTGCCTTTGAGCCAACTCATAACTCTGCTTTATGCTTCAACTACCCTCGAAGCACCTTGCCATCAACTACTAGCGGATATCACTGCCAAAGATGGCCGCCCTCCAATCTGCATAATCTCTGACGTTGTCCATGGATGGGCTACACGTGTCGCTCAGAAGGTCCAAACCGTCAATGTCAGTTTCACCACTTGTGGTGCTTATGGTACTGCAACATACGTATCGTTATGGCAAAACCTCCCTCACCGTCGGTCTCCAGAAACCGATGAATATTTTTCTGTACCGGGTTTTCCTAATTCATGCCGCTTTCATCGTTCTCAGATTCATCAGTTTTTGAGAGCAGCCGATGGTAACGATTCGTGGTCTCGGTATTTTCGCCCTCAGATTGTGCTTTCCTTAGAATCTTCATTCGGGTGGCTGTGTAACACGGCGGAGGAAATCGAACCTCTTGGCTTAGAGGCTCTCAGAAAAGTTACCAAACTTCCTGTTTGGACTATTGGGCCTCTTCTCCCTCCAACCATGCTTAAGCTCAACCATTCTTCTTCTTCATCATCTTCTTCTTCTTCTTCCAATCTAAAGTCATTAATATTAGGTCAACACAGTGGGAAAGAATGTGAAATATCTCCAAAAAAATGCCTTGAATGGCTAGACTTGCATCCACAAGGCTCTGTCCTCTACATTTCATTTGGGTCACAGAACACAATCAGTGCTTCCCAAATGATGGAATTAGCCAAAGGCTTGGAAGATAGTGGCAAACCTTTCATTTGGGTTGTAAGGCCTCCAATCGGTTTCGACCTGAAAGGTGAATTTAAAGCAGAATGGTTACCAGATGGTTTTGAGGAAAGAATGGTGGAGAGGAAACAAGGTATGTTAGTGAGGAGTTGGGCACCTCAACTGGAGATTTTGTGCCATAAATCGACCGGGGCGTTTCTCAGTCACTGTGGATGGAATTCGGTTATGGAGAGCTTGAGCCAAGGTGTGCCGATCATAGGGTGGCCATTGGCGGCCGAGCAGGCATATAATGCAAAGATGATGGTGGAGGAGATGGGTGTTTGTGTTGAGATAACTAGAAGGGGAATAGAGACTAGCGTTGGGAGAGAGGAAGTGAAGAGTGTTATTGATTTGGTGATGGAAGAGAATGGGAAAAAGGGAAAAGAGATGAAGAAAAATGCAGTTAAGATTGGAGAGTTAATAAAAGCAGCACTGAGAGAGGATGAGAAAGGGCACAAGGGGTCTTCTCTTCAAGCAATAGATGATTTTATTTCTGCCATTGTCTCAGCTGCTGAAAGTAGAAGGCAGTGACTTGGTCTTAGGATGCATGCAATAAATCTAGAACTATGTTACCAAGACTCGGGTACGAGTATCGGATAGAGGTGCATATCTAATTTAAGCATCTGACCTTTGGAATATATATTCAAAATAAATGAGTACAGAGACTCGGATATCTATATATTACATTACATATTATATAATAGAATAATATTATATAATCTTATTTTTTATCTCATGTTCTCTCTTCAAAACATAAGTGAGTGAATCTTATATATAGTCATGAATGTAAATCTCATTGCCTTGTGTTTAGGGGTGAGAAAATGAAGTGATAAATGAAATTATGTATAGTATTACTCTATATAACATTCTTAGATAAGATGTTACAAATTATATATAAATATATTTGAAATTGAATAAGATTTAAGAAGAGAAAAAAATGAATTTTTATCTTTCATCTATGTTAGAAGTTACAAGTATTCTTTTTTTAGTAAAAGTGAGTTTTCTTATTCTTTAAACATTGCAAAAAATCAAAAGATCAAGTGATTAAATTGAGTGTGTGTCAAAAACGTTGTCCATACCCTTATATCACTGTATACCTGGTAAACAAGATTACTTTGGAGAAATAGTTCATGCCTAACATGTAGTATGTACTAACAGTAGAACCATGCACATTAAAAATTAGGAGTAGTTGCTGCCAGTCTCTCTTCCTTTTCTTACTTCTTACCCACCAAACAAATATAAACTTGAAATTTATTCAAAATTCCCCGGATAACTATGGCAACCATTGTTGTGTGTTAAGTTAGACTGCAGTACAGAAAAGCTAAAAGTACTTCTCAAAAGATCAGGGCAATGAAAAACATTTGTTAGAGATTCCAATCAATCATCAGACCTAAACAAATTAGCCAATGTATGTCATTAATTGATCCTTGAAGAGTAAGCCATTCAATGGTTTGTCTTACAAAATCCTCATCCCAGCACGATGAGTTTAAATCTTACCAATTGCCGGAAGAACATAACTTTTTTGGCTCAAATACGGTACAATATTACAGAGTCAAGTGCCCTTTTCTTTGTTGACAATTTTTGATTTATCATTTACAACAAACAATGTATAACAAAAACTAACCTAATAACCTCACTACTATATAATGTTTAAGTAATAGAAGTAGCACACACACACACACACAAAAACAACAAGAACAACAACAACATACAAACAAACAAAATTTAAAAATAAAAAATATGAAAAATTATGAAGAAAGTGCTTCTAAAGCTTATTATAGAAAACAGAGGCAAAACCAATGGCAATGGCAATGCCTTACAACAACAGAAAAGGGACAATTTTATACTATATGTACAGTGTAGACATAAAAACCTCACACTTAAAAAAAGCAACTGGTCGCCCACCCAAACCAACACCCCCCCACCCCGCTCACTCATAAGTAGGATATGTTTAATGACAAGTTGATGAACAGAGAAACCAGTACTACTATTCAGCTACATCCACTCAACCAAAGTTTTATTCTGTTGCTTATGCCTTTGCACATAAGAAGTTACTTGCTAGAAAAGAAAAGGAGGGTCATCTAACCCGCTAAGATGAGGATGCTCCGATATCAAAGGGCAAGTGATCTGACCTCATCTGCTTTCCAGAGCCCTTCTTCGTACTTGTACCACCTCATAAGCCCTTCATCATTTCTAGCCCGCTGACACATAATGCACGAGTCATCCATGCACGTGTAAAACTCACGTAACCTAGAAGCCTTCTCAAGAATTGATTCATCAAGCTCCCTAACAATTCTTCTCGCTGCAGGAGGTGGAGGGACTTCGATAAGGAGGCAATGCGAGATATTTAGCACCTCTAAGTTTGGTAAGCCATCCAAGATAGTGATCAGAGCATCCCTCCAGATTGTTGAGCACCGGAGGCTTAAAACCTTTAAGGTTGGAAGAAAAGTAACTAATGTAGACGCAAAGAAAATGTCACAAGGACCCATGATCTTGAGTTCGGAAAAGTTCTTGCAGTTCTGCGCAATTTCTTCCATCAGGTATGGGGGATTTGCTATGCTCGGCATAGTCAGCGACTCCAAATCTTTCCACATGCGGATCGCCCTGCATATTCCAGTCTTTTTTATTCGGTTCCAAGCTGGCATAACAAGTCGTTTTAGCCTTGGGCACCTGCAACAAAGGGATTTATTTTTAAGGAAAAAGTCACATACAAGGAGTTATTCCTTTGCCATTCCTTATTTTTATTTTTAATTTTCAGCAGATGGTGGGAGCTAAGATTCTCATACACGTCTACTTGTATTAATGCATGCTACTATATTTTGGTAATGACAAAAAGAACCCAATGCTAACTGCAGTCATCCCTATAATGTCATTACAATGGATAACATGTCAAAGCAACCAGGTAGTACATAATAAGATTTACTGTTTATTTAGGATGGATAGAAAAAAAAGTTCAAGGCAATGCTTATGTTGTGTGATTCCATTATATAACAACAAAAGCCATGTTATCCTGCATTTGAGCAGATTGTGGCAACTTCAATTTTGACTAAAAATAATGCACGGAATCAATCAAAAGTTGTTCTTATGTTGTACAAATTCTTGGTAATTATTGCCTATACAAAATTTGGAAAACCTTATCAACTACAGCCACATGTATTCCCACTCAAACAAATGACAAATTGAACCCCATCCCAATTTTGAGTATCCATTCCAAAATGCTATTCCTCTAAAATTAATCAATACTCACTACTACTTTAATATGCATATCAAAGACACATTTTATCAAAATGATTTCCAGGTTGCAGGGGACATCATGTTCTCCTGTGGGATATAAACAACATTAATCTCAGCCTCAGAAAAAGGTAGAGATATTTTGGGACCTAAAGTGAAGCAGTTATGTAGTCCAAGATCTAGTATATATATACATATGATGCCATGGAATATAAAATTTGTTATAAAGCCAGACAAGCTACTGATTTCTTTGACATACCTTTCTGCGGTATAAGTCAACTGATCATCGCTGACATAGAGATTGAAATGGAAAATTAGCGTTAGTATGCTTCCCCTGCTTAGATTCAAAGCAATCTTCAAGACTCGCGTTAAAGTTTTATCAGACCGACCGTCCACATAAACATATGGCTCTAACGGGATTTTAATGAAGTTAGACTTCAACATTGATAAGTCAAGAGTTCTCCACAGCAGGGGATCGCAAGCGGCCAAACGCCACGTGCTACAAACTTGACCAATGCCAGCAGTTAACTCAAAGATATCGAAAGACTGGACTATCTTCACGAGTATATCAATGTCCATGTCCTCCCATTTTCTCACAATTAATGCACCGTCTTCCATTTAACAACCTTGCCAAATATTTCTAAAGAGGTCTATTGCATCATATTGCCTACATAAATAAGAAAAAGTAATCAATAAGAAAAGTAATCACTTATTCTTGCAGTCTTAATTATCAATTACTTTTAGTGACATAGAATCTAGGATCCATAATTAACTCATGATTGCATATTTTTAGATGCAGATAATAAACCTTTCAATGCTTTCATATACATCATCTGACAAATCTAAGACCATAGTTTGTGAAATTGGGTATATCGTAGAAAGTTTGTTCTACAGAAAGACCCTGATGGGTAAACAAACATCTAAACAACACATTCTCAGATATTAGGTTCCAACAAGTAGCAGGTCCAACAAGAATGTAACCCGCACTGAAGGAATTTCTGAAATTAGTATCTATAATTTACATGGCCAAAGCTTTTAAAGGCGGAAGCACAAGGCGAAGCATTTTACTCCTGATTAGGTGAGGCGTTGGGGCATAAGCCTTTTGAATTTTTTTTTTTTTATCACAACTAAATTTCTAATTAAAGTAAAATTATTCTCTTCATTCACCATTTATTTAATATTTTTACTTACTTATTTTCTTATACACCATTTTTTTTTTTATTTCAACATGATTCAAAATACAAAAAAT